TTAGTCGAATGAATTTTTCTTTTTCTTTCTTTCGAATGTTTTATTTTATTTTTTTTTATTTTTCAACTTTAACCTTATCTCTAATTAAATTGATCACCTACTTTAAGCATTGTGAAAGGAAGAAAAAACGGTTTCATAATCCACAGTTGGATATATTTGTATTATTTATTATATAATTTTGATCTAATTAATGATCTTATACATTTAAAGATTTATTCTTAAGAAAAGTAACTTTGCATTTTTTTTTTTTTATTATTATCAAATACTCTTTTAAGGTAGAATTGATTTATTCGTGCATTAAGAGTAAACTAGGTACGTTTCGTGTAAATCATTTATCTTCCATTCAATTCCAGGAGTGATTCGATCGTTTATTCATAGCATTTGGAAAATTGATATTCATTGACTCGCTAGATAATTAACAAGCTATATGATTCACGAGATAAGTAAATACTGATTATATTTACAAAAGAGTAATACATTAAATAAATATGTTATTTAATTACGAACACGTTGCTGCAACCTTACGTGTTGAATGAAATTGATTTTATTTCACGTAATTTTGTTTCCAAACTTAGTAGCACAATTAGCACAAGTTTTTTTTTTTATTTTATTATTATTTTTTATTACTAATTTTAAAGATTATTATTTACAGAGTTTATCTGCGTTCTGTAAGATTATTTCAATAGATGGGCACTGTATTACAATTCAATTATTTCGAAGTTTGATTTTCTTTGAAGGTTTCACTTTCTACCGTGTGTGATTTGCACACACATCTTCTGTTTTATTATTTTTTTTTTTTCTTATTCTCACTTACTTCTCCACTTTCTTATTCTTCATATATTTTACTTTTGAAAAATATATATTTCTTCAAAATATTATTATTAAAAAAGAATTGCGAGTGAGCCGAGCCCCAGTTTTATTCGTAGCTATAGGAGACTGAATATAAACAATGATTACATATTATATAATTATTAAATATATTTCAATTGATAATATAAACGTCATTATCATTGTGTAGTAAAAGTTTCCAAATAAGACCGTTTGAAATAGTTCGGTCTAGCGTTAATTAATAAATCATAATATTAGAACCAAGCCCAGAAGTTGTGTGCGGTCGAAGCCTAACAAAGTTGCACTGGAAAGCGGAAAGATTAATTTGGAAAGCCTCTACTATGTGTACAGTAGTATTATACTAACTTGTTACGTAGTATTCTACATACGCCAGTCGCCATTACTCATACTCATACACAAACGTTTCTATGAGATGAATAATTCAAGAAGGGAATGTGAAAATCACACGAATAATGTCGAATTTTTAGATGATTTCTTGACGCTCGTTATTCTCCCTATTGCAACTTCTTTCTTTCTTTTTTTTTTTTTTTTTTATTATTATCATCTCTTCTATTTCTCTTCTTTGATAAATCAGATCTGCGAACGAACGATGATTGTCAAATTAAACTGTCGTCAAAGATCGTTCTCGTTTGTCGAAACAAGAAGACATTGTTAGACGTATTTCTTTTTCATTAATTTGTAAAAAAAAAAAAAAAGAGAAAAAAAGAATCATTCACCTTCTATCAAATTCTAATTGTAAGTAGTTCAATTGCGAAGTAAGTAAGGTAACTCGAAATTGAAGAAGAATAAATTACACGAAACTCTTTTCTTCGATTTTCTCGTTTTTTTCTTTTTTTTTTTGGTTTCAGGGCCATAAAACATTGTAGAAATTTGAAAAGCTTTTGAAATTCAAGTCCTCAAAGATAACACGATTTTTTTTTTATCATCCTTTTTGATATACAATGTTGTAACTTTATGAACGAACATCCTTTACCTATCGTTTGCTTTTCTTTCCTTTTCTTTTTTTTTTTCTTCCCCTTGATTTCTTTGAAAAAAAAAAAAAAAAGGTAATTTCGTCGAACTATTCGTAAAGAGTGAGGAGGGTGGATACGGGAAAGGGGGAAAGGTTATACGTTGCTTGATGATAAAGCTTCTTCTTTCAGAGAAGGAAGAGAGAGAGAGAGAGAGATAATTATTTCATTAATATCTTTATACAAGAAAAACTAACTAAAAAGAATAATTTAATTAAATAAATTTATGTATAACGTCATTGTTTTTGTTTTTTTTTATTAGAGATCGCGAGCGATAAATCATAAAGACAAAATTTCACGAATATCATAAATAACAAATTATAAATTAATTAAATTAATCAGTATCTCTCAGTATCATCGAACTCGTTCGTAATATCCTGCATTAAACTCATTCGATAATAATTATACAGTTATCTTTCTTGAAATGATAATGAAATCGAAACCCTGGGATTAAAAAAGCTTTCTCTTCTCATCCAACCTCTCTCTCTCTCTCTCTTTCTTTCTATATATATATATCTCTTTTGATTACTCAAATTTGCAATGCAAATGTCAATTGTATTTAAAAATAACACGTTCGACTGTAAAACTGTACTATGATCGACGTATGGTTTATTTTTTAACACGAACAGTCTCGATACAAGAATCATCGATGCATTAATTCACGTTGATTAATGTTGTTACTCGTAACAGTTGTACAAACAATCGAAATAAACCAACTGTATAACTCTCGTCGTGTCAAATAACAAAATTTACCAATCACTATAAAAATTGGAAAATTCAATAAAATTTAATAAGAATATTCAATTTGCCCTGCGTTCGACGTGTATACACGTCGGTTGCTTGTTTTTTCATTCCGCACTTTGTGGTGATCTTTTCAAACTAAATTCCACAGTCAATTGGTTAATATAATAATGATAATAATAATAAACAAGAAGAAAATAAAAGGAACCAATAATATGAGGTTATGTCGTTTAGTAGTCTGCATATTTCACCTGTGCAGAATTTGCAATCACTTTTGGGAAAAAGCTTTTTCAGCGGAAGTGAAAAATCGATTCGGTGTTAAATTTATGGACACGTTTGAAACGTGACTTTTCAATATGCGTGTGTGGTTTTTGATAAAAAGAGAAAGAGCAAGAGAGAGAGCGAGAGAGAGAGAGAGAGAGAGAGAGAGAACATATTGATCTTAACGTTACTAAAAAAAAAGGATCGTTAAAGAAACTAATGACAAGGATCTTACTATTTTTATGATGATGGAAGTAACAGCTTTTCAGACATTAAAACTACTACGTGGGGTTATATGAATGCGTAATAAAATATTTCTTTTGGTTTGAAAAATAATTTTACAATTTTTCGATAAATGAAATAATACCAATAACAATAATAATAATAGTTACTAATTAATAATAATAATAATAAAGTCGGATAATACGAAAATTCGTAATTAAAGATTCAATGAGAGAAAAATATTACGTGGGGTGGCTATGTGAATGCGTAATGAAATATTTCTTTTGGTTTGAAAAAAAAGTTTCACAATTTTTCGATAAATGAAATAACACCAATAACAATAATAATAATAATAATAATAATAATAATATGAAAAAGAATTTTCAACTCGTAGAAAAATCTTTATAGGATATTGAAGGAATAAGAAGAATTTCTATTCTCCGGTAGTACCATCGAGTGCATTATAATGCAATGCGTTCAGAATTGTGTAACATGTTGTATTTCTGTTGCATAAATGTGTTTAAAAATCTTACAAAGAAAGAAGTATGGAAAGTTTTTTTTCTTTTCTTTCTTTCTTTCTCCTTTTTCTGATTTTCCTTGCTTACAAGCTGTTCTTTTTTTCCTTTTAAAGAAAGAAAGAAAGAAAGAAAGAAAGAAAGAGAGAGAGAGTTAAGTGATTTAGTCCTGTTCCTTTTCTTTTCTTCCTGCATCTCGAAGGACTTATTCGTCCTCAAGTTTTCTACGAGTTTACTAACTACTAGAACTCTATACTTTTACGAGCGTTTATCTATGTCTCTGCAGCTGTAAATTCGTGCTTGAACCATTTTCCATTTAAAAACCAACGTTATTTGTTTTAAACCTAACACAACAAGCGAACAACTATATTGCTCTTTCAATATGGAGGGTAGTGATAAGGAATATCATCTCATTATTATTATTATTATTATTATTATTATTATTATTATTATTATTATCTGGCATTCGGAACTGGAAAGTTCATTGCCGCAAATACCAAATCCCAGGGCCATTGTTCCCATCCCTGAGCACAATTCTTCCATTCGCGGTCTTCGTATCCTATTTCTTTCAGATCTCTTCTAATATTATCAACCCATCAACGTCTCGGTCTACCCAATGGTCTTTTTTTTCCCATTTAGTATACCGACCAATATTTTGTGCGCCGTTCGATACTCCCCCCCCCCTCCATGCGTTCGTATACGAACGTATGTCGTTTTTATATTTATTTATTTTTTTTTTTTTTTTTTTTTTGGTAAATATTCAAACCCTACGTAACATCGATATTGGGTTGGAATTACAAGAGTTTGGTTACTGTAACAGTAACAAAACGTTGTGTGTGTACTTTTTCGAACGATTCAAGATAAAACGTTTGAAAAAGATATTTATTTATTTATTTATTTATTTATTTATTTATCTTTTGTTTTATCTTCCTCTTCTTTTTCTTCTTTTATTTCAACCAAATAAATCGTTAGTTCGCGTATCTTTCGTCACACCATTGACGAAATAAGAGTGTAAATCAAATTTTTCGGAGGTATCGATGTAAAAAAGAGACAAAAGAGAGAGAGATATATATATATATATAGTAAAAAGAAAAAAAAACATATAGAACTGAACGATATATGCTGCAGGAATTTAATAAAATATAAATCTTCTTCGTTACGGTGAAAAGGGGGGTAGAAATTTGCGTGTCCCAACGATGACAACCGATTTATATTCGTGCAAACATTCTCTCTCTCTCTCTCTCTCTCTTTCTCTCTTTCTCATTCTATTCTGAATTGAGTGTAATCTCCATTTCGCGTATTTTCTTTTTTTCTTTTTATCGTAACATCATCGATATCGAGAAAATAATTTGAAAAGAAACATTTTTCATTATCCTTCTTCTTCTTCTTCTTCTTGTTTCAGTCTGTTCTCCGATCTGAGAAGTTTGGCAGGTACCACTCTCATGAATCTCTTAGCAGCCCTTTTCATGGTTCAACTCCTCTTCATCGTTGGAGTTGGGGGTGTTCAGGTAAGATTCTACATCGACCGATACTTCTTTCCTACCAATAATAAAACTAAAAAGAACCACCCCCTTTATCTCTGTTAAAACCACTTCCTTATCTATCTGCCATCTTTCCCTTTTTTTCCCCCTTCTTTCTCTCATTGATCTTTTTTTTTTTTTTTTATTCTTTTTTTTTCATGTACCTTTTTACCACCTTCACGATCAACGCTACTTGGAACCAATCGAAGACAAGAAATATATATTTGATCGATCGATCGTTCAAACCAGACCATCATTCAACCTTCCCCTCCCCCTCCCACCCCTAATTCCACTCCCATCTCCACGCAGTTTCCCTTCCTTATCTATTTCCTCTCC